AGACTGTCTGACTCTAGAACCCGTAAGTGTGTGTGACACCGTTTGGCTTATTCACCAAGCCTTTGTGTCGTCCCATCTGCAACGTTTCTGCCGGATACTCGACTTCCCCTTGTCTGCGCCTGGAAGGGGCAGTTTGGCCAAAGGAAGCCCATGTCGGTGTATTCCCCGTTCAGGAAGAGGGATGCTTTTCTTTGCTGCTTCTGTCCTTCCTCCAAGGCTCCTTAATATAGTTGGCATGGGATGGATGTCTCCTTCCAAAAAGTGTACAGTTGCCTCAACCTTCTTGGAATCAGAGGCGGAGATTTGGCTACAACTCTTTACAAAGACTATAATCCAGCTGACAGTAAGTCAGCCCATTCCGGCACCCTCTTCCTCATCTCTTAACTGGCTCGCCCGGAATCCTTGCGGATCCAGAACAGGAGAACTAGATCTCTGTTGTTTGAAGCCAAAGGCTGTTGTGTGGAACTGGTTTGCTTTCCCATAAAGTCATTGTCCTGGAGTATACACGTACGGACAGAGCGATGTGCACACATACATATATGTTTGAGGTCAGATTGTCCATATACGATCCATTCCCACGGCCCTTTGATTAAAGAGCGAGAGGACCTACCGTAGGCTCCAGGGTAGGCTCCGAAAAGCCAGCTCAGTCTCCTGGAGAGTCACGTTCCAATGATTTCATGGGTAGATCACGTTGGCCCCAAGCACCGCTCAGCCTGTGTACTCATCACTGCCTCCTTCCTCACACGGAACCCACCCTTTGCAGGAGCCACAAACACATGAGCCCTAAACACCCCTGGGTTGGCCAGAGCTTCGTCTCTCTGTTACAGCGCTGACTTGGGAGTCCAGGGGGGATTTTTTCCCCCCAGGGGAAACCCCCAGCAAGGTACACTAGGAAAGAGTGGGGAAAGCCAGCTGTCTTGCCACGGTGCTTATTTTGGTTAGACGAAGGATAATCCTCATTTGCTGTCTACTTGTCCTGACATCCCGGCAACAGGTCTTGGGTGTTCTAGCTGGTGATGAGCTAAGGGGATGGGCACTGAACAACCCCTGTTCATGGCATCTCCTCTCGAGAGACTCCTTGGAGGGGAGGTGGGAGGGAGAGGGAGAGAGAGGAAGAAAGAGAGAGAGAGACAGCGAGCGTATTTATTTAGGGAAATGTGCATTTGTGAGTGTTCTCCAAGTCCACATTTCACAGTTGGGCCAGAATAATTAGGAGGTACATTGCCATCTGGGCATGTCAGTTCTTCTGTTTGCTCGTTCTGAGTCAGTGCCCATTAATAAAGTCCTTGGTTTGGGTTTGGGATGTCCCAACTTTTCTTTTGTGAAAAAATAACTGTCTGTCTGTCTGTCTGTCTCTTCTCATTGGGGCTTTATTTGATTTGAGCTGGAGTGAGTGAATTTGTAGGAAAGACCCCTGGGCAGCTGGCGGACCAGGATGGGGGGGAGAGGAGAAGGGGTGGGCGCAGAGAGAGCCTTTCTGTGCTTCCTCAGCTAGAAAATTTAAAAAGATAAACAATCCCTAATCCTGACCTGGGGGCAAATCCCAATAAAGAGCCAGGTTAATTTTTCCTGCCGATACAACCCTTGAGTTCAGTGTACGAATTAGACGGTTCTGTGGGCCTAATTTGCCAGATCAGATTGTGTAATTATCTTTTACAGGCCTGGGTGTGATGTATGCCCGGTGTTTATCCTGCAGGGGGCTGAGCGTGTGTTGGACTTAGAGGTGCTGGTCTACCTGCCAGGCTGAGCGGGGGTGGGAGTTGCTGGGCTGTCTGCCTGGTCTGAAGCAGGCCCAGCATACCTGCGTGGACCCGGCGAGCCGGGGACGGAGTCAGGGGAGCATTGCTGGGAGGCACTTAGGGGAAGGCCTTCGGGCTGGACTGGGGGCCTTTGGGAAAGAGCAGTGGCCTTGAGGACTGCCAAAGGCCTTCCACAAAGGGTCCGCATGAAGGATGGCGGGTTTGGAGGTTGGAAGGAAGTCGAACTCCTAGCTGGATCAGATGCTCATGACCTTAGGCATTTTTGTCGTCATGAACCCCTTTCCAACATTAAAAAAAAAAAAGAAAAAAATTAAAAACGGCATTTTCTGATCGCAGTGGTGTAGGACGGCTGCCGTGCAGGCCGGACTTGTTGAGATGTGAGCTTTCATATTATACTTCTTTTATTCCTTCTAGTTTTATAAGGAATTAGAACATGTTCATGGTTGGGGGTCCTGGGCACTGCCTCCTACGCTCAGTGGGCTTTGGCCTTTCGGTACGTGCCTCGAAATGGGACCCAGTGGTTTGGCCTCCTGCCAGCGACTTGACCTGCTCTGTGGAAGTCACGGCCCTCTGACATTGGACCTATCCAGGAGGTCCAAGAATTCTCCGACCTGCAACCCTTATTTTGGCCAAAGAGGGGCCGCTCACTTACAGAGTGGGAGAAGCCCATGTTTGATCTCGCCTGTATTTCCTGCCCTCCCTCTGCTGCGGTGCGTGGCCTTCTGTTGTCTGAGGACCGACGGTGGTGGTGATGTACTTTCTGGAGAGGCTGCGGGCTGGGGTGGGACTGGACGAGCTGCAGGCCAGTGTCTTCTTGTGGCCTTGCCTGCTGGGCCTTTTGATCCTCCGTCGGAGGGATCCCGGGGGACCAGCCCCTTCCATCTTGGCTGGAGGTGGTGAGGCCAAGAACCCCTAGGTGCTGTTTGGCTCAAGGCATCCCCGGAGACCCCTGGAAGGAACCAGTCAGGGTGGGGGCACAGAGGGAAGGGAGGGACCTTTGGGGGGCCAGCTGTGGGTAGCCTGTGGCACAGCGGTTTGGTGCCAGGCATGGCCTGCTGCCATTGGCCTGTTCCGAGGGAGTGTCGTCTGCGCCGGGTCCTGCTGTGGTCCACGCTAGGCACGGAAGGGCAGCGGGGAGGTGGGTGTGCAGGGCTCCGCGTGGCAGATGCTGAGCCAGTGGGCCGGGAGAGGCTGCATCCACGGGCCCCCAGGCTTCCTGGAGGCCCTACAGCCTGCCTGCCCTCGATAAGCCTGTGGGCATAGAAAGCAGAGGGGAAGAGCCCCGCTCACGTTAACAGAGCAGAAAGAAACCATTCTGTTGATGGCACTGCTTCCTAGAGTATGTGTTAGGCTGGGGCTTGGATCTAGGTGGGGGATGGAAGCAGAGGCGCAGCTCTCCTGGGATGTGAGTGACTGTCTCTCACCGTCTGGCATTCTACAAGTCAGCTGGGCAGGTCTCAGGGCCTCTTGGACAGGGGTTGGGGAGGGTCAGGAGGGTGAAATGGGATCCGTTTGCCTGAGGTTTCAGGGGAACCGGACATAAGTCAGGTGTTAGAGGGCACCCCTGCTAAGCCGGGGCCACCCAGAGCACACTTTGCTGGCCACCAGTGCTGGGCTTACCCAGGAGCTGGTAAGAGAGGCAGGATCTCAGGCTTCCCCCTCAGAGCCATTGATTTTGAATTTTAAAAGAATCTCCAGATGGTCCTTACATTTCAGTGCATGTTAGACTTACCTGGGGAGCTTCAGTTCTTTTTAACCCAATACTGAGTTTCTGCCGATCAGAACTGCTGGGAATGAGGTCTAGGCTTCAAGATGTCTTTCAGGCTGCCCAGGGGAATGGGGAACAGTGGTTTCAGCAGGTAGCCCAGTCTGGGAACCTGGACGGTGAGAACCCTTCCTCTCCTCCAAATCTCCCCCTACCCTAGGGTTTTCCACTTCCCCACTCCCCGAGGTCTGCTTGCTTTGGTTGGACTGAAATGTCTTGGGGCTGGGTGAGCTTAGATCGACTTGTGTCCAATTTCCTATTTCCCCTGGAAGTGTCAGGCTACAGTCCATTCCATTCAAGTCTTTAGCTTGAATGAGGTTATGGGATGTTCCGCACCCAAGAGACTGAACCTGGGCTGGGTGTGGGGGTGGCCCTATATAAGGCAGTAACAGGAGTGGGGATCCGTTCTGCTGCCCGACTTGGCATTGGAGGGTGTGTGGTGGTGGTAGGCATTGGCTGGTGGGGTTGACCACAGAGGACCAGCCTGGACCTGGTCCTCCGTAACTCTAGAAAACACGGGAGTGATCCAAGCCCCATGATGATGTCTGTGTGCATCCAGGGAAAGAACAAAACGCCACCCAAACAATCCTCTCCCTTGTGAGTGAAGGTGACAAGTTTTCTGTTTCAAATCTGATGGTATTATTTTTCCCCTTTTTTCTTCTCTCTGTTTTCGTTTGCCAGCCTAGGGGTCTAGAGTGATTTCTTTGAGTCTAATGATGGGGAAGCTTAGAATGGGGCTATTATCTTAAACACCTTTTGAAATACTACCCTTCCTGGTGTCTGAATCAGGTTGGACAGAGGTCGGATTTAAAGATTAAATATCTATTTTAGCAGCAGTGGCAACTCTGCCCGTAACCTCGTGCCTTTGCTCAGGAATTACAGGGATGACACGCCATAGCCTTGCACTCCAGAAACTCACGCAGGAGGCAGGGAAGGTATAGCTCATAACGATAGGGACTGGGCACCGAGCTAGAGGTTCCTCATGGGCAATCCATGTCATGAACTCAGACGTGCCATGTGGTCAGAACATAAAACAATTCAGATACAGTGTCATAAGAGTCTTTGAGGAAAGGGGCCCTCCAAAACAGAACAACTCAGGACTGTGGCAATAGATTATTATTTTTTTGGGGGGGTGTACAAGCCCACTGTAAATTTAAGTTTTAACTTGAAAAAAAATTGCTATCCAATGTAACATTCATTCCATTTTCTTGAAGGTCTACTTACTAGAATGAACATCTGTATTTCTTTGAAAGTGTCCTTCCAGTCTGCCACATCTGTGACTGACAGAGGACACGGGTTTTTGCCTTTGTTCAGAAGGAAAGTAGTTTTATTCTATATTAAAGACTAAACAATTATTAAACGCCTATGTCCCTGCAAGGTTGTCGGGCATTCAGAGACCACTCCCTCTATATTTTAAGTTTGCAGATGAGTTTTACTCTGCTGTTTCCTGGCATAACTCTCCCTTCTTTTTCTAGGTGAAATCAGAGCTTTGAGGCTGACCTGGGGAGGTGCTCCAAGCCAAGAAAAGAAGGACAAGAAAGAAGGTGAGTGGCGGCCGGTAATCAGAGCAGAGCCGCACCCCTGCTGCTTGTCTCACTCGGGAATTTTATTCCTTCTGCAGCCAACCTCCTTTTTCCCAGACACCCCTCCCGCACCCGTACCCGCCTGCTAGCCCAGAGGGCTGACTGGCAGGCAGGAGCCTTGCAGTTAGCTGTCGGAGAAGGTCCAGAGACACAGGTTAATAAATACTAACAGTCCTTGCAGTGAATTCCAGGCGGGCTGGGTTCTCACGGCGTCTGCCTGGGTGAACTCGTTCTCACCTCTCGAAATGCCAGCAGGGGAACGTGTCATACCCAGCCTACAGATGAGGAAGCAGAGGAACGCTTGCTCACCCGGGGTTGCCTTCTATCGCTGCCTACCTTCTCTCGGCTGCTGACCTTCACTTCCCTAGCCCTCAGTTTTCCCATCTGTAAAATGGGGACGATGAACGATCCTTCCCTGCCATGTCGTGGCACGAGATGAGAGGATACAGAGTGAAACGCCTGGCACAGTGCCTGGAACGGACAAAGCACTCAGTGAATGTCAGCGGGTGTTTTTTTTTCCCCTCGTTAGCTCCGCATAGGATCTTGGGTGAATTGTTAAGCCTCTGTTTCCTCACCTAGAAGATGCTGGTGCTGATACCTTGTCCTCAGGGGAGGTCGTGAGTTACGTGGGACAATACAGTGGTTACCAATAAAAGTCTAGACCACGGCAGATGCCCTGTCTCTTCCCCTCCTTACATATCTTATTCCGCATGGATCAGGCAGAAGGATGATGTCCAGTGGTGTTAACGCCTCCATCCCCTAGAACACTAAATCCTGGCAGTTGCTCCCCGGTGACTTTTGGTTTGATCCTTCCCATCCCTTCTCCCAGCCACGCTGTTGATCTTGACTTTGGTCGCACAAGCTGGCATGCTCACGAGAGGCTCCGACCTTTGGAATTTCTAGTCTTTCTTTCCTAAAATGATCCTGTCTTTGTCTTCTTGAAACTTCTTTCTTAAATCCAGTATTCATCCTGCCACTTTCTGATTAAAAAAAAAAAAGGCAAAAGAAAACCAAAAAGCAGCCTTGTCCTGGTTCTCTCCTGGTTTATCCCAGCAACCAGATCTCACAGGACATTTAATCTTAATGGCTCCACTTCCCACCCAAATTTGGATCCTCACAGCCAAACTGACCTGCTGTGTATCCTCCCCACCCCCCAAATCTGGAATATTTCCACACGTTGCCTCCGTGCTTCGTGCTCTCCCCCCTGGCTCCCTGGTGTGGGTGTCCAGTGGGAGGCTGGGCCTGGGGAGGAGTCCGTTGGCGAAAGGGTTCCTTGGTGGCTGCGTGTGCCCGGGTGACTGGCAGGCTGTGTGTGAGTTGGGGCAGGGACGGGAATGAGCGATTCCAGGGGACTTTCCAGGCCAGTGTGGGCACTGCCTTAGGGAACACAGCACCCTCTGCCTTAGTCCGCCTTCTCCCTTCCCTCCCCGAGGGGACCTCAGCCTGAAGAACAGTTCATTCGTTCAGATAACACAGCCCCTTGCACCCGTGGGAATGGCCTAACAGAGCGTTATTAGAGGCTCACTGCGTGCTAGGACCGTTCTAGGCGGAGAACACCATCTTGCTGTCACGGGACTGGCCTTCTAGTGCAGGAGAGGGTGGATGGCAAAGAGCAAAATAGTATATAGGTTAATTAGCTTGTACATAAGGTGACAGTGTTGTGCAAGACAGCAGACATGGGGGCACAAAGGCAGGCCACGTGTGCGGGGCAGGGAGGGGAGGGCTGGGTGCAGTGTTGAATGGAGCAGACACCTCGCTGAGGAGGTGACCCCTGCGCACATGCTCCAAGGACCCAGCCCGTGAACACGCTGGGGATGAGGGTTCTGCAGAGGGAACAGTGACATTCAGGCCAAGGACAGGAGCACGGTGGGATTGGAACGAGGCCCAGGCCAGGTAGAGCCTGGGTGGCAGGGCGGTGGCAGGGGTGGGGGGAAAGGGGGCGTCAGGCTTTCCCAGTGAGGGAACTGGGAGCCACAGCAGGATTCTGAGAGCAGTGAGACAAGTGTGCTGCGGTCGCACTTCCTGGGGGCTGGTATGGAGACAGAGAGGATCAGAGCAGCAGAGGGCCGATGGCCTGCGGGGAAGGGGCGTTGAGGTGCCAGGACCTGTCGCGCCTGATCCCAAGTATGTGACAACGGATGGCATTTCTAGTGGGGATGAGCCGAGAAGCTTCCAGGTTGTTCCTCAGGGCATGAGTCTCAACAGCTGTGGTTGCCTGATTTAGGATGGCCTCTTGCATGGGGTGGTGGCGGATGTCTCTGCTCCTCCCTGCCTGGGGGGCCTCCAGGCCTCAGTCAGCCCGCGCTGGGTTCAGCAGCAAGGAAGAGAAGGGAAAGGGGAAACAGAAGGGAATCGTGGGAAATTACGGGAGGAGGGAGACCAGAGGCTCTAGCTTTTCTGTTCCAGTTGTGGGGAGGGTAGTTCGGGGGGGACGGCTGCCCTCAGGGATGCAGCTCAAGGCCATCCCTCATGGTGTCCCCACAGCCCTGTGGTGGGGGCCACGCGCTCCCTCCGCAGCCTCCTTGCCTCGGCCTCATCGTCCTCCTCCTCTGACCATAGGGAGCTCCACGGTTGCGGGAATGTCCTCCTTTGCCGTTTGTCCTTCCCATCCTGCGGTCGCCATGACCGTCCAGGTGGGGCTGGCTCAGCGTGCCCCAGAGCTCACGCCCAGCAGACGTTTCTTTCTCAGAATGTTTCCATGAGGACCTGGTCGTGGTGCTTGTTAGCTAACGTCCTGTGAGCTGACATGCACCGAAAACTCCAGTCCGTTAGGCCACACGCCTCCTGTTCCCCAGCAGAGCCTTAGCCGAGTGCACGTGCCCTGTCACACACGCTTGCAAAGGACAGGACAGTGAGCAGGGTGAGGTCTTCGCCTGCATGTTTCTCCCAGGCTCGAGTGTATTTCTGAACAGCTCTGCCGAGCTCCTGAGCGCTACTCTGCTGGGGACTCTTTCCACCCGTGGCTGTGCCCTCCTCTGCTTCCAGGCCAATGGCCCCCGGGGAGTGGAGCAAGATGACGGCCTGGTGGCTGGGCTCACAGGGCCATCGTCAGAAGCAGCGACAGCATGGTGGTACCGATGGGCGCGGATTTAGTGTCCCTCCTCTCAAAGGCCTGTCCCCATCACTGCCTTTTGGCCCCTTGGCATAAAGAACGATGAAAAAGCCTGACACGCAGGGAGGACACCCTCTCCCCTACTGTCCGTCTGGTGTGTGTGTGTGTGTGTGTATGCATGTGTGTGTATGCGTGTAAGTGTGTGTGCGTGTGTGCGTGTATGTGTGTGTGTGCGATGGGCAGGGTGAGCGGCTGTGGCTGGGATGAGGATTTCTTCCCTAACCATAATTGAGAGTGAAACGCCGGGGTTCTGGGAGAAAGAAGCATGTCCCAGTTCTGAGCGGCAGCGCAGATGACCTCATCCGGGGGACGAGAGCCATCCAGAGGACTCGCAGATGGAACTTCCCCTCAGGGTCCAAATGTGAGTCACCGTGGCTCGCGTCTGGGCAGCAGGCTCCGTCCCCAGGCCTCCCACTTCACCCCGGGACGTCGTGGTCACCGCTCAGGCCCGATGACTCACTCGGGCTCCCCGAGTCAGCCCCCGGGGGTGGAGCCTTGCTCCCCTCTGGCCTCTGTCCCCTTGGCGCTGGGGCCCCAGACACGATGTGCAGGATGCGTGTGGCAGGGAGAGGCCCTCACGGCCTGGGTGGGTGCGCCATGGCCACGGCTGCCAAAACCGATTTCAAAAGTCAGTTTGGAAAGTCCGGGGGGCTCCCTGGGGCACACAGGGCTGTAGCCGTGGTCTCAGAGCCCTGCGGATGGGCTGCACTCTGACTCCTGAGAGGGGGGGACACGTGGCCACCCGCCCCCAGGGAGCGCCCTGTCACCCCATCACCTCCTCCAGACAAGGGGAGGTCACCCAAAAGGCCAGGTGGGGGCGGGGGGGGGGGCTGGCGAGGTGTCAGGTTTCCCACCAAGCCTGCAGGCTGCCTCTTCTGTCCTCCCGCCCCCCTCCTCGCTTTCCATCTTCCGATGCTAGAAACAGTGTCATCTCTTCTCAACCTGTCAGTCTCGCACCTGCCAGGAGCCCCTGGCAGTGAGATGCCTAGCGAGGTCCAACCTGAGCTCATCTGTGTTTAACATCTGTTTTGGAAACCAGGTGGCGGGAGGGACTTTCTCAGGATAAACAGGAGTAAATCCCCAAACCATTTCAGTGAGGTTTTGGGGTTTGTTGTTTTTTGTTGTTTTGTTTTGTTTTTAATTTTTCATATTTCTCTCTCTCTCTCTTTGTCTTCAATAAAAAACCTTTTTGTAGGAAAATACCATACAAGAGTGGGGGGATGAAGGGTTCCCTGACGGTTTGTTCTTCCAGGCAAGGTTTATTTAATATGTGTCCCCAGAGCCCATGGAACCTGCTCCTGGTCCTGCCAGGCCAGACCTTTCTCCCACCTGACGCAGCGCACAGAGAGCACGGTCACAGTCATGGGACTCAGTTTACCACCCCAGAGCCTCTGTTCTTCCCCAGAGTGGTGGAGCTAACATGGCTTCACAGTTTCGTCCTTTGGCTCCTCGTTGGGAACTTTCCACATCCAGTCTTTCTTCGTTTGGCAGTGGAGGGGTGGGAGGTATGAGAGCACTCTTTAGGGTAAAGGTCTGAGGCGACAGAGACCCGACCCAGCATCGGGCCCAGGGGACCACCTGTCCGGCACCCGTCTCAGACATCTCTCCAGACTCCCTGGGCCCCGGGGTCACCGTCCCTGCTGAGGGAGTGGGTGGGTTGGGGGCAGGGTAGAGGCTGGCTCACGGGGACACTGTGTGGCCCCAGCTGTGAGGGTCGACTTCGCAGGACGCAGCTGACCAGAGACGAGGGGGTCGAAGGCATGGGCACGAATGTGCCTTGGCCCAGGTGTGAGAACGTGCACTGAAGGCTCGGCCTCAGTGACTCAGTCCGCAGGCAAACTGTGAAAGGGAAGTGACTCACTGACAGCCCTGCTCGAGAACTCCTGAGGCCGGGCCGCCAGCACCTGTCTGGGACGGGGTTAGTTATTAATGCTGCCAGGAAGAGTGTCATGGGAACCGGACGCCGGCCGAGATTGCTGGAGGCAG